AGGGTTTAGGGCTTTGGGTTTACCCTCAACCCGAAGCCCCACAAGGTCTCCAAAACTCGCGGGGGGTCTGCGCCTGGCAAGTCATAGCCGGCGGTGAGATTCAACTGGGCGGCAAGGGTTTAGGGTTTAGGGTTTAGGGTTTAGGGTTTAGGGTTTAGGGTTTTGGGTTTAGGGTTTAGGGTTTAGGGTTTAGGGCGGCAAGGGGGCGTCATGGTGTATCACTCCAGTATCTCCAATGTAGGGTTTAGGCTCTAAGATTTAGTGTATCACTCCAATATCTCCAATGTAGGATTTAGGGTTTATATATGTGTTTTCGGGAGTAGGCTACGCTGGAATCATCATGAGGAACTTTCAGGAACAGCACTCTCACGTTTTCAGGCTCGTGTATTCGGTTCATAGCGGGGGAAAAAATCATACAGGATTGTAACCTGCATTGGGCCCCTTGAAAAAAAAACGGCATGGGAGACCGAGTGTCATGGGTTTAAGCGCTGTGGTTCGTTCAGACTCCAGCGCTGGCGCAGTTTGCGAAAAAGGATTCAAGGCCTTTAAGGTCCCGGCCCTACGCTTTGAAGCCCTTACGAAACTGTAATCTCCAAGCCGTAACCTGCTTTTGGCGTCCCCATCTTGTTTCATCTGGGTAGTTCTCTAAATTAGGTTCCTTTTCAGGGTCCAGTTTTTAAGGGTGCCGTACTATATTGGGGACCTAGAAAAGGGACGGAAATTTACAGAACTACCCATCTGAACCCTAAACCCTAAACCCTAAACCCTAAAGCTTGTTGAAGGTTCAACTATGGCTTGAGCTGCTCAGAGCTCAAGCTTTGTCGCGCTAACTTTGCCTTGAACCTTGAATATGGTTTTTTAGGGTTTAGGGTTTATGGTCTTGAAAAGCTTACTTAAAGTCTCGGGTTTAGAGCTTAGGGTTTGTATTCTTGCGTCCTTCCACCCCTAAACCCCAAGTCCCTAAGCCTGAACGATACAAAAGCCGAATCCCTGCACAGATCTGAAAAGGTTTAGGGCTTAGGGTTAGGGGTTTTGGGTTTTAGGGTTTAGTATACCCCAAAACCCAAAACCCCTAAACCCTAAGCCCTGAAACCTTTCATTTAGGGTTCTTGCACAGCCGCCATTCCAAGTCCTAGCCCGGTGGCAGAAAGGGATCACACTGCGCATCCCTGCCCAGAGAACCCAATACCCGTTGACGAAGGAATACACCTGAAATATGATCGAAGAAGGGTATTCCTTAACTGAAGGGTCTTGGGCTCTCTTGGGAGCTGATGAACCACGTTTTTTGTAGAGCCTGACCATTAGGATTCATATTATCCGCCTTCTGAAAGGAGCCAACCCTAAAATTAAACCCTCAACCCCTAAACCCTAAACCCTAAACCCTAAACCCTAAACCCAAACCCCTAAACCCTAAACCCTAAACCCTAAATCCTAACCCCTAAACCCGTGAACCCTAAACTAATCAGAGTTCGACATTGCTGGGCTTTGGGTTTCGGGCTTGCAGGTTGCAGGCTTCATCTCATGTCATACTTGCTTGGGGTTTAGGGTTTAGGGTTTAGGGTTTAGGGTTTAGGGTTTAGGGTTTAGGGTTTAGGGTTTAGGGTTTAGGGTTTAGGGTTTAGTGATTAAGGCTCAGGGTTTGACTTAACTACAAAACTTACCACATCACGGAAAGGATCTCATGTACTTTAGACTGCTAGTTTAAGTCAGGTTCTTTGACAAGAGCCTAGGCGAAACTTGGGAAATCAGGTTCGGGGCACAGAATAATACACTTAGAGATCGAGGAACTTTGTAATTAGAGTTTGTGCGAAGTTACTAGAAAGGTCGATTTCGAGCATTTCTGTACTACAGATATTCAATGAAACTTTTGCACCAGAAGCCTAAACCTTAAAGCCTGAACCACAAAGCCTAGACAAAACGCTCCAAACCTTAATCTCCATCCGAAGCCTAAGCCCTAAAGTCTAGACCGCAAACCCGTCAATCAACAAAGCCGGAAGTCGAGACCCGAAAGCCCAAAACCCTTAACCCTAACATCTAGACCTTAAGCCCCACAGGGCCCTAAGCCCTAAACCCTAAACCCCGAAAGTCTGGGCCCTTTTCCCAGAGACCCTGGACACCGCAGAGTCTGACCCCTTGAACCCTGGAGTTGAGGGTTTAGGGTTCAGGGTTTAGGGTTAGGGTTTAGGGACCTTGAAAACGAAAACCCTGCAATGCAGGAGCCTTCATAATTTTAGTAGGGTTTGGGGGGTTCCTTTAAAGGGTTCCTTAAAGGGTTCTACAAAGGCTACTACAAGGGTTTAATGTAGGTACCTTAGGCCCTAAACCCTAAACCCTAAACCCTTACTTAACCATTTAGGCTTCCATGCTCGGTCCGCGACGAAGCTTTCCACCACAGACCTGTCTTTGAAAAAGCCATCTGAGGGCTTCGGGATAAGGTTTGGAGTTTAGGTTTTTGGTTTACGGTTTAGGGTTTTGAGTTTTTAGGTTTAGGATTTCGGAATTCGGATTTGACACATGCTTGCAAAGGTGATGCGGTGGGCCACCTCGTGTCAGCCGGCTCGGGCGCCATGCTGCAATGCTTGGCCCTTGGACTAAGTTTGCTTTACAGTTTAGAGTTTAGGGTTTAGGGATGAACATGACCTCGGCATAAGATCGGGAGGTCAACTAAGGATGTCGCAAGCCTTACCTGTACATCCTCACCTGCTTTAAGAGGGTCTTGCTCGTCGGGGTTCGTGTGCAGGCTGCACAGTAGGTTTTAGTTCGGGCTTAAGGGCTTCAGGCTTAGGGTCCGCTGTACACTTTCTGTGCATCCATGAGCAGAACTTAGTCCTAAACGGCGACGAGATTGCACATGCCGCTCATGCAAACACTCCACAGGTGAAACCCTAAACTCCCTGAACCCTAAACCCTACTGTAAACCCTACTTGGAGGGTCGGGAGACTTAGCAAGTGGCTGTTTTAGAAAGATATAAATACCGTAACCCAAATTAGGGTCCAAAACCCTAAACCCTAAACCCTAAACCCAAAATTAGGATCCCACTTAGGGCTCTTACAGCTTTACTTCTTGCCGACTTGCTAAGTCCTCCGACCCTCCAAGTAACCCTCGGACGGCATGGTCTGCCGCCATGCAAAGGAAGTAGTGTAGGGGCCTAAATACTTACCTAGACTATTTTGGAGGTTCCTTATTATAATTATAGTAGAATGTACCCCAACACCTTATTCTAATGATTTCAGGCCCCTGCATTACCCCTAAGACCAAGCCCATTTTTCCACTCCTGCAGCCACGGCTGACTGAAGCGCCAGAAAACCAATCCGGAGGTGAAACTGTCACCTTTCCAAAAAAGTGTGCGGCTTTGTGGAACCACGAGGAGACGGCGTCTGGAAGCCAAATTTCAAGCTTTCTGAAGCTGTTCCCCTTAGGGCCAGTCTCATCTGATGCCCTCTACATCTCTTAAAACAGCGCCGTGCTCTTTCCCTAGGCTGCTGCTGAGGGTTTTACCTTCTTGCGCAAGACCACCATGCCTGCTCTACTGCAACCCGAGGGGTGTGACTGTGGAGAAACTCTGCATAAAATCTCATAGAAATCCAGAACTTGACGATAGCTCTTCAGTGTGTTGCGCGGAGCGACCTTGACGGGCGTGGACAGATCTTCGGTACCATCGGGAAGAAATTTGTAACCCCATTCTTCCAAAAACCAGTCGTGGATGATCACCACCGAACTCTCGTCTACATAAGGCAAGGCAGCAATTGCACACTCACCACGTACCCGGCCATCGACCAGCACCACGTCAAATCGCGACTCATTGGTCATCTGGATCAACTCCAAGTAGTCGCTGAACACCGCTGTCCGCTCTGCTGCAGATGCATCTCGCCATTTGGGATCCAGGTTGGGCCCATAGGTTCTCCGCAAGGGATCCTGTTCATCAAAGACCCTCTGGGGTCGAAAATGCCGCAGTCGGTGACACCAATGGCATCTAAGGCCGTTCGGTTGGGCAAGGCTGAAAGAATCTCCACGTTGCTGATGCCTAGGGCGTCACACCGGCGTTGCACCTCGGCCGAAGCAGCTTCCGGGGAAGCTTGTGTACTGGAATACCCTGCATAGAGTATAGGGTTTAGGGTTTAGGCCACTATAAACTATAAAGCCGTAGAAGCACACCGATTGATGTTGATCTCGGGTTTGGGGCTCAGGGTTTAGGGTCTGTTTGGGGTCACTTCCTTCCCATCGCTTGTTGAATCTTGCTGTTGAGGTGAGGTAACTATTGCACTAAACACCGGACGCTAGAGTGCGCAACTTCATTCGGAATCACAGCCTGGAATGACCATATTCTAAGCCCCTAGACCCTAATCCCTAAATCCGAAACCCTAAACATTACTTACACCCTAAACCCTAAACACCAAAGCGTATACCCTAAACCCTGAACGCCACACTCCTGGACCCTGAACCCTCACCCGAAACCCTGAACCCCAAACACCAAACCCTAAACCCGCCACCCAAAACCCTGAGCCCCCGCCTCAGCTGCCCATGTAGGAGAATGCTCTGCGACATAAAGCTTCTTCACCAATCGCGAGAAAGCTACCGTAGAGCCTCCTCCCGGGTTTAGGGAGCTTCTTTCAGGGTTTAGGATTATTTTTTGGATGCGTTGCTTGGTTTAGGGTTCAGCGGTTGGAGTTTGGGCTGCATAGTGCTTCAAGTTAGGGTGTAGTGTAGGCGTTTTGGGGTGTCGTTTCGTACAGTATAGGTACAACAAGGATCCAGAAGGAACAGCACTACGGAAAAATCCGACCCCTGTGCACGGAATTGTAGGAGTCCTTGTAGAAAAGGAAGAATGGCTATCTCGCTGGAAAGGTTGAAAGGTTTAGGGTTTAGGGTTTAGGGTTCAGGGTCAAGGATGGACATGAAACATGCACGCTTAGCAGAACCTGTGACAATTTGGGCAAATTGCACCTGAGCCAAACTCAAACATTACCACCTCAGGATGTAGAAAGGCTTGCATGAGGTCAATCTCGGCAGGGTCCATCATGATCTGACTTTCTTCGCAGATGGATGAGACCGAACCTCAACGGGGTGAAGCTAGAGAGCAAGAGCAAGCCACAGCCTCTTCTTACCTTCCGGTACGACATCCTGTTCATCATGCAATTTCTACCTCAGGCCTGTCTCTGTTTCCTTGGTGGCGAGAATGCCGAAGTTCACGGCCACCGCCGCCAGAGCCAACGCTTCGGCGAGCCGGCCACTGCATGGGCTGGACATATCCTGCCTCATGCTAGCCGCGAATAGACAAAGAAGTTCCAAGTTTCAGTGGGGGGAAGGTAGTAGTCACTACCTTAGATATCCACACCTTCACTCCATGCTAACAGCGGGCAAGATGAGTGAATCGCAGCAACTGGTGCATGTCTCCAGGCTCTGCTCAAGCCGTCTTGTTTGGTTCTGTTTTCGTTTGGTAGGAACCCTTAAACCCTAAACCCTAAACCCTAAACCCAGCTTAATTATATGCTTTGCTGTGGTCAATGATGCCGCTCAGGCTTCAACATGCGCTCGACACTCCCGTCTCTCATGATGGGCCCTTTTTGAACCCAGGCTCTGCTGATCAGCTCGTGATTGCCCCTAAACCCTAAACTCAGTTTAGGGTTTAGGGTTTAGGGTTTAGGGTGTAGGCTAAGCCCTAAACCCTACTAGAAATGAAAGTGCGGCGCTGCACGCGGTAAGGGGAGCAGGAGGCCGCGCCTATTCTTGATGGACGAAATACTTGCATTACTACTATCAAGGTTTCGGGTTTAGGATTTGGGCCTGATAGTTCGGATAAATATATTCCGGAACTCCGATACCTGGTGTACGAGGGCAGTGCAGGATATCACCGTGTGGCCTGTTGCACCCTACAGTCTGCGAGCAATATAGGGGCCTTAAGAATTAGAATAGTTTTTTGGGGCCCATTATACTAGAATTATAATAAGGCCACAAAATTCTGAAGGTAATTCCCCAAAAACCTACAACCTAAAATGAGCATTATACTATAATTATAACAAGGAACACCCACAAAATAGTAGAGGTAATTACTAAGGCCCCTCATAGTAGCCACACGCAAACCCGCCTCGTAGAGGTCACATTGCCCACCAAGTTCGACCCAAAGACTGTAAAATGTCATGGGTTTAGGGTTTTGGGTTTAGGGGATCAAAAGTGATATGATACTCTACTATGATAGGGTTTAGGGTTTAGGATTTAGGGTTTAGGGTTTAGGGTTTAGGGTACCCGCAATAGGGAATATACAATAACTATAATAGGGGCTTATTATACATTATACTATAATTATAATTGGGGCCCATTATACATTATACCATAATTCCCATAGTTTAGGGTCCTTAAGGTAATGCAGGACGTATATATCATCAACACTGATTTAAGGAGAAGGATCGCGGACTTCCAAGCTGGGGCTCGCTGCAACGGACGAGCGAAGCCAAGAACTTGCTGGGCTCAGGGTTGAGGGTTTAGGGTTTAGGGTTGAGGATTTAGGGTTTCGGGTTTAGGGTTTAGGATTTAGGGTTAGGGGTTGAGGGTTGAGGGTTTCGGGTTTAGGGTTTAGGGTTGAGGCTACTGGGGCTCCCTATCCGCCAGTCCATGGAAGTGCCTTGTGCGAGGACTTCCTGCATCTCGGCAGTGGCTACACTCGACAGTTCCCTGCCATTACACATTTTACAGACATGAGTTTATAAACCAAGGGCCTAAAGTACCCCCCAGGTTCCCGGCAGCCTTAAGGCAAGCTAGAGTTTAAGGGCTTAGGGGATGAGAATTGGCCCTCCTCGCATTTGAGGTTACAGTTTCAGGGTTCACGACAGAAGCTCTGCCGGCAGAATGTGTAGTTAATCTGTCTGGTGCTTAGTAGGGAATGGGGGAATGGGTTATAGGGACTACTATATACGGGACTTTAATGGACTATCATAGGGATCCATTCCCCCATTCCCTACTAAGCACCAGACAGTAATTAGGCCCCTACATTCGGAGTTTCCATCTTCACTGGCGTTGGGGTACTTTGACTTTCTGGCCCTGGCCTGCCATCCGTGACTCCAATGGAGTGGTGATTGCCAGATTCAAAACTATTGCACTCCCATGTAGACTTTAAAGTTGGGGCTGCATTGGGCTTTATAGGGCCATGTGTTTGAGTTTGGGGTTTATGAGCACTTTGGTTTATAAGAGGCCGTGCCTCTTGCCGTCAATAGCGCCCGATACGCATCCGCTCGGTCTTTTGTCATCTCTTGGGACAGCCAATCCGTTTGGCAGGCTACCCGGGTACAAAAGCCATAGCGACGAGAACTATTGACTTCATTGTCACTGCCATCTCTGACCATCCTGCTACCCCTGAGCCCTAAACCCGAAGCATCCTAAACCTAAACCCGAAGCACCCTAAACCCGAAGCGCCCTAAACCCTAAACCCTAAACCCCAAAACCCGAAGCAGCGTAGGCTTCGGGAGCATCTGTTTCACGACTGGGCCAACATCACCACGCCGGCAACGGCAAGGAGAGCCCCGACTGCCGACCGTGCCGTGACTGCCTCTCCTTTCCTTGGCGGCTTCAGGGTTGAGGGTTTAGGGTTTAGGGTTTGGAGTTTAGGGTTTAGGGGTTTAGGGGTTTAGGGGTTTAAGGTTTAGGGTTAAGGGTTTAGAGTTTAGGGTTTAGGGTTTAGGGTTTGGGGGCTCAGGGCAGCC